TCTGAGTTGAGACTGGAATATGGACTCTGGAGACTACGGGATTGTTCACCAGAAGATCCGGAATATCCATAAAAGTGGTCAATTCATGAAACTGATCCTAGAGCTCCGCGGTTTTTTTTAAACCACTCACAAACGTCTTATCAGAATTAATTCGGATTTGTGACTAGAATATAGGCCCTGGGGACCACGGGATGGTTTATCGGAAGATCCGGAACATCCGTAAAAGTGGTCAATTCATGAAAATGATCCTAGAGCTCCGCGGATTTTTTGAAACCACTCATACACGTCTTATCAGAATGAGTTCGGAGTTATGACCGAAAAATTGACCCTGGGGACTACGGAATGATCCATTATAATATCCGGAACATCCGTAAAAGTGGTCAATTCATGAAACTGATCCTAGAGCTCCACGGATTTTTTGAAACCACTCATAGACGTCTTATCACAATAAATTCGGAGTTGTGTTCGGAAAATGTACTCTGGGGACTACGGAATGGTTCACCGGTAGATCCGGAACATCCTGAGAAGTGGTTAATTCATAAAACTGATCCTAGTGCTCCGTGTTTTTTTTTTCGAAACCGCTCATAGACGTCTTATCACAATTAATTCGGAGTTTTGACTGGAATATGGACTCTGGGGACTACAAGATGGTCCACGGGAAGATCCGGAACATCCGTAAAAGTTGTAAAGTTATGAAACTGATCCTAGAGCTCCGTAAACTTTCCGAAAATACTCATACACGTCTTATCAGAAAGAATTCAGAGTTGTGACCTGAATATTGATTGTGGGGACCACAGGATGGTTCAAAAGAAGATCCGGAACATCCGTAAAAGTGGTCAATTCATGCAACTGATCTTAGAGCTCCATGTTTTTGTTTAAACCTTTCATAAACGTCTTACTACAATTAATTCGGAGTTTTGACTAGAATTTGGACCCTGGGGACTACAGGATGGTCCACCGAAAGATCCGGAACATCCGCAAAAGTTGTCAATTCATGAGACTGATTCTAGAGCTCCATGAGTTTGCGAAACCACTCATAAAAGTTTTATCAGAATGAATTTGAAGTTGTGACCGGAATATGAACGCTTAGACGGAAAATTGACCTTTGGGACCACCTGATGGTTCACCAGGAAGATCCTGAACATCCATAAAAGCCGTATTTATGAAGACAAAAATATTAGCACCAAAACCATAACTTTTAGGTATATGGTGTCTTCGGGAAAGCTTATTCGTATTTTTTAGCCGATTTGAAATTAGGGTGGTGCTTAAAATTGGTGAATTGAAAATTCAACCTTTTTTATTACTTGAGATAGACTAATGCAGTTTTTTTTTTAAAGTTGTAGAACAATCAATTTGAACCAACTTTGCTCATGGCATCACATTTTTATCTCTTATGGTTCATGACTTATGGTTATTTTAAACAAGTAGGTTGGAGTGGCCCCTAGAAAATCTTTCTTTAAATATTTTTATTGGTGATCAACGTATAAACAATATTTAAAGAAAGCCGATTTTCTAGGGGCCACCCTAACCTCTCGTAAAAACATTATTCCAAATAATTTTAGAACTTTTTATGACGCATATTTTTGCAGAAGTCACTAATTTGAATCTCCTTATGGTTAATTTATGGCTAGTTTTTGATAAAAAAAAGATTTTTTTTTAAATTAAATTTAATACTTTAAACAAAAAACGCTCTCACAGTTTTCCCACAAATACTGAAAAAACACGATCTTTTAAATGAAATCGTAAGTTTGAAAATCGGTTTGCTCCATTTAGAGACATTGTCATTTTAATAGAATCATTTTTTCGAAGAAAATCTCCATTAATTTTCTAATAATAAAAAAAGATAGCAACCAGGCGCTTCAGCAAAAATATGCGTCATCATAAGTTCTAAATGTAACCGAAACAAGGTTTTTACGAGAAATGAACTTATGAAAAGATATTCGAAGAAATCTGTTTTTATGGGCCATTCTAACCTGCTTGTTTAAAAAATCATAACTCATGAACCTTAAGAGATAAAAATGAGGTGTCTTGAGCAAAATTGCTTCGAATTGATTGTTGTACAACTTTTAGAAAATTGCATTGGTCTATCGCAAACATCGCAAATAATTAAAAAAAAAGTATGTATTTTAAAATCTCCAATTTTGTGGACCACCCTAATTTCACTAACATAAAAAGATCGGCCAAACAATATGAAGAATCTTTCCCGAAGACACTATATACCTAAAACTGACGGTATGGGCGCAAACATTTTTGTCTTCCTAAATACGGCTTTTGGGACCATTGTGCAGTGGATGGTCCTCCGAAAGATCCGAAACATTCGTAAAAAGGCTCAATCCATGGAACTGATCCAAGAACTCCGTTTTTTTTCGTATACTCTCATACACACTTATAGCTAATTTGTTTATTATCGGGGTTGGAACCAGTTCTAACCCAGTGTGAAACCGAACTGTTTTGTCAGTGCGAACCTGAACCTGAGGTAGGTTTTAAAAACAAACGATCAAACTGACGTTTGTCAGAAAACAAGCAGAGCCGATCTTGATACCCGATCCAGGTTGGAACTGAATAATAAACAAATTCGCTATTAATCTAGCTCGGTAAAATCTCCAAAAGCCGATTACCTCGGTATTCTCTTTTGCTGATATCTCTGCAAAATATCTGTTTGTTAGCTGACAGCTCAGCAAAATGTTATTTGTTAGCTGAGTCTCGGCAATTGTTTTACTGAATCTCAGTAAAATAAATTGCAGAATTACTCGGCTGTTGGAATCTCGGCGAAAATATTTAAGTGTGTAGACGTCTTATAATTATGAATTCGGAGTTATGATCGGAAAACAGACCCTGGAGACCATGAACGCTCCTCTGGAAAATAAAAGACAACTCATCAGAATGAACTCAGAGTTGTGACTGGAAAAGGGACCCCAGGGTCCATTGGATGGTCCTTCGGAATATCCGGAACATCCATTAAAGTGGATAGGTCAAGAAAACTGATCTAAGCACTCTATGGTTTTTTAGAACTGCTCATAGACACATTTTTTTTATTTATTATCATGGATGATTTCTAAGTGGTATTTAAATAATTAATAACTTTTAGTCACTTTTATCGGAATTTTTTAATATTATTCCTTGGATTTCATGGATTTATTTCCTTTGACTTCTTGGAGATGTTTCATTGGAGTTACAAGTTAACGAGGGCTAGCTTCAAAGTTTATATTTTTAATTCATCACATCAAAATTTATTCAATAAGCCATTTGAAAACATCGGCTTATTGAGTTATTATTAATATTAATTTATGAGTGGCTTTGAAAAAAAAAACAACCGTGGAGCTCTAGGATCAGTTTCATGAATTAAACACTTGCAATGATCTTCCGGATCTTTTAATGGACCATCTCGTGGTCCCCAGTATAAACTGTCTGGTCAAAACTCCGTTTTTATTGTGATAAGATGTCTATGAGTGCTTTCTAAAAAATCGTGGAGCTCAAGGATCAATTTCATGAATTGAGCACTTTTAGGGATGTTCCGGATCTTTCGGTGGACCATTCTGTAGTCTCCATATTCTTATTTCTGAACACAACTCCGAATACATTCTGACAAGACGTTTATGAGTGGTTCCGAAAAATCCGTAGAGCTCTAGGATCAGTTTAATGAATTGACCACTTTTACGGATGTTCCGGTTCTTTTAGTGGACCATCCTGTAGTCCCCAGTGTCCATATTTCGGTCACAACTCCGAATTCATTCTGATAAGACGTTTATGAGTGGTTTCTAAAAAACGCGGAGTTCTAGGATCAGTTTCATGAATTGACCACTTTTACGGATATTCCGGATCATCCACAGGATCAGACTTGTACCCTACCGGAAACTGAATCGTCCCAAAAGGTGGTCAACTTTCTGCTTAACAACTTCTCAGAAGACATCAGGAAGTTATCTTTTCAAATCAGTAAGATTTTCAAATTTTCAACTAAAAAATTTCAACAATGTTATTGTTTTGTTGACATCGTTTGACAGTCCACTTGACCGAATAATGTCAATTTCGTGCGCGGTCTATGCTTAGAATTGTTAGGAAATGTCAAAGTGCATCTGGTACCACTAACACTGTTTATTTTCGAAAAAGCTTTCGTTCGAACGGGTTCGTACGAAAACCAGAATGCCGTTTTCGAACTCGTTCGAATCGAGTCGTTCGTACGAACGAACGATTCGAACGAGTTCGAAAACGGCATTCTGGTTTTCGTACGAACCCGTTCGAACGAAAGCTTTTTCGAAAATAAACAGTGTTAGTGGTACCAGATGCACTTTGACATTTCTTAACAATTCTAAGCATAGACCGCGCACGAAATTGACATTTTTCGGTCAAGTGGACTATCAAACGATGTCAACAAAACACTAATGTTGTTAAAATTTGGAGTTAGGATCGGTTTGTTTTAAATTGTTGTTTTGTGTAAGAAAATCGATATTTATTCTTGAAACAAACAAAAAAAAACTTATGAAATATCGATAAAAAGTGCTAAGTGACCTCCAGCGACGATCATCAGAGGACGCATCCGTATATGCAGGAAGAAAAAACGGCCGGAACAAGATCTGTTTTCAAAGCTGGACAATCATTGGTCAGGTAAGTTGCTTGCAATGCAATGAAGCAAGCAGTTGAGTATGTTGTTTTCCGTTTTTTCCTTCCAGGTCTACCCGTGCTGCGTGGCCGTGGCTGGTGTCAATAGCCAACCAATTCGGTTATCCAGAACCAGTTTCTATTGTTTGGTTCGGTTTCTGGAACATTTTTATCGTTGGCCATTCCAGAGAGCATAGGAAATTAGCCGATTCGCTTAGTACCGGACTTCGTTCGATATCCGTTTGCGCCGTCACGATTTCCCATAGCATGTCCAGTCGCCTTTCCAGTCCGTCACTTCAGCTTTCGACATAAGCTTGGCCACTTTCGTTTGTTTTATGGTGAGAGCTAAGCATTGAATTACAGTTATTCATTTAACTTTTCATCAATCTTTTAGAGCTACGGACGTGACACCATCTCTTCGTGATCCATAGAGTTATTGAACTATGCAGTGCAGTAAGTGTAAAATTTATTACTGATTTCAACTAGTAATTATTATTATTATTATTATTATTGTTTTGTAGTGCTTCAAGGATCGTTAACGTTAACCAAAATAAATTGGGATTCATAATCAGGCAATGGATAGCATTGCACTAGCTTGTGTTGTTGCGGAAGAGGAAACAAATGCTTTGAGAAAACTTCGAAACAACCTTAGGAAGAAGACAAATGTGATGGAGCTGCCTGATGCAGAGTAAGTGATATATAAATTTATTCATAAATAGATCGATCATCATAATCGATGGAATCCATCACAAAGCAGTGGTAGAGCGCTGGTTCTAAATTACCTAAAAACGTGCGGATGACCTAGTAAACTGTGATTATCCAAAAAGGGATAAAAGTTTTACTTACAAATTGGTAAAAAGTTTACCCAAACTAAGTCAAAAACATACTTTGCTTTGGGTAATGGTTATCCAGCTTTACACCAGTTTAAGGGAACTTTTTTCTCAGTTTTGGGTAAACTTGTACCCATTTTTAGATAATTAATGATGAAAGCACAGACAAACAGACATAACTCTCGTAAATTGTTTATCAAACACATGATAAATTTAAATATTTCTTAGTTGGTAGTAACGCCACCTGTGGCGTAAATAGTCCACTGTCTTGCGTTTGACGTTTATACATTATTGCCATTTGTTGAGAACACTACCCATCACAGTGTATTCCACAGATGGCGGTAGTGTTTTAGCAACGATGTTTTACAGTGAGAAATATTCAATGGGTTATGTCTGTTTGTCTGTGATGAACGTAACTGACTGAGACTGAGTAAATTTGTGTTGCTATTTTTTTTCGCATGCAAATTTACTCAGTTTTGTAAAAAAGAGATTTACTCATAGCTATCCACTTTTTATGAAACTGAGTAAAAATTGTGTGCGTTAAATAGATTGCAATATAATTTTACTCAGTCTGTGAGTCACTGTCATCGTCCTTAGTGTTAGTAGCACGATTAGATGGAATGTTGATGCCTTCAGTAAAGTTGTTCAGCTGGACAAAACCTATTGAATGATGGCATCTCAGTTCAGAACTCACTCACTAGTTCCATAAAAGTTGACCTGTTTCTGATCAGTTGGTTAGTTCCATAAAACTATTATACGTCTATAGGTATATGTGGCGCGCATATACCTATATAAGTAAATGGTTCTGCACAGAAGTTGAATCGAATTGCAGTCTTCGACAAAGTTGTTCTGCATAGTTTACTTAATCTGAATCCCAGGTGTGGGCAATATTGAGAAATGGTTAATCTTATGACAGGCAAATGACTAGTTTCATTCTGTAGCCCATACATTTTTCCATTTATGAAGAGCTTTGAGTGTGTTGTTTTCCATGCAAACTTTAAAGTACTGTCGCAAATCCAGATCGCAACCGAATTCGTTTAAATTTGGCACAGTTGTTAAGGACCTCAATACACATCGAAGCAGCAGGAGATTGCAAAGTTGAAGAATATCGCATCATTTTAAAACTTTGATGAAACATTGTTGGTTTAGGAAATTAATTGATTGATTAATCTAGTAATTACTATTAAATGGACCAACAAAAATAATGGCGTAGTCCTACGTCAATAATGCGGTCGTGCTTCGTACACAACCCCTACACTAATACAATTCCACATATTTTTTTTGACGAATTTCCATGTGAAATTCCTAATGATTTTCATGTGACCACACATGAAACAGAATCCACCGAGAAGCACACATGGGTCAAATGAATAGCATGTGTGGTTACACATGACTTTTGTTTGTACACATATTAAGAATGTGTCCGACACATAGATATCATTTGTAGATCACATTGCAAAAAATCATGTGTGGGACACATAAAAACAATCTTTTAAATTTTATCAGCGTAACGTTTTTTTGTTCTCTGCTGCATGCCTGAATATTCCAAAGATTTTTTGAGAAAATACACAAATTCCACAACCCTAATAAAATTTGTATGGTTATTTTGCTTAACGACGTGTTCAGGGTATCCTTCAAACAATTTGTGGAATAGTTGTACCATTTTGTTATCGTTCATTTATGGTATTTGTTTATTAGGGAAAGGAATACAAAATCGCTAAAAATTATAAAATAACGCCATTATATGGATGTCAATCATCCTTTCAACATGAGCTTATTTTCGATTTCTTATTCTTAATTAGGAATCAAAAGTTTGATGAGATATTTATCACAGCTGATCAATCTTCTTTTGATGTTTATTTCATCAACTTTTAAAAAAATAGGAAATTTAACTTCTTTTAACTATGAGCAGTTTTTTTTTCAAGGCTTACCGTTCTTGATATTAACAAGAATCAAGATACAAAAAGTCATTGTGTTTATATTACTCAAGACATAACAAAACTGAGGTATGCCCGAGGGGCGATCAACTTCATACATAAATCAGCTGAATTGTAATACACGCTTGAAGAAATACAAAAAAATACGTTGATGTTTACACGTCAAAACTAAAATACTTTAAATGAAATACACAAAAATACTTTGTACACGAAAAATACATTTCATAATGAATTTAATACACTTTAATACAAACATACACAAAACTTATAAATACATAAATACGGAAAATACAAAATTCACCTTTTCAATTCGAGGAGATGAATCGAAAATATTCAAGTTTACAGCCCCTCGGGTATGCCTAAATTGAGATACCACGGTATACTAATTTACAAAAAAAAAAGGTTATCGTCCATAAAAGGCTACCAACATTTAGAGATGGTCGATCTGGGCTGTGCGGATAGTTGAAGATTATTAAATTGTGTTTATTTTTCAGGTTTATGAAGAACTTCCGCTTGAATAAAGAAGCATTCGAATACGTTCTTCACGAAATCGAAGAAGAGTTACCACCGAGTAAACACGGTGGACTTTCAGCGAGGGATAAACTAATTGCCTGTCTCCGGTTTTTTGCGGAGGGCAGTTATCAACACGGTGCTGGCAAAGATTATGACATCGCGATAGCACAACCTACATTCTCTAAGGTCCTCGGTCAAATGCTTGTCATTTTAGAGAGAAAAATCTGTCCAAAATGGATTACATTGGTCATGTCGGATGAAGAGATGCGAGAAGCGAAACTTTACTTCTATCGAAAGTCAACTATTCCAGGTATCATCATGTGCGTGGATGGTACGCATGTTAAAATAATTCCTCCAAAGAAAAATCGTAATCTGTTTTACAATAGAAAAGGATTTTACAGTTTGAATGTTTTGATTGTAAGTATTGTACATCATTACATATACTGAAACTATTTTACGCCCCGATTGTGTATTCGATCGAATTTCGATCGAGTCAGAAAAAAATCATTTCATTCGAACGAAATACGGAATGGGTTTTTTTTCGAGTCGGTTGAAATGGGAATACAGAATCAGGATGTTAATCGCAATACAGCAATGTTATAGGGAGATTGAAATTTCACACCAATTTTTGTCTAAATCAAAAATAATCTTCTCGGTGTTCTGTGCATAAATGGATCATAATTAAATTTTTTTTCTTAGATGTGCGACCATCAGCAACGAATTAGGTGTGTTGATGCGAGATTCCAAGGATCGAATCACGATTCACATATTTGGAAGTTAAGCGATGCACGGTTATACATGCAGCAACTTCATAGAAACGGTGATGTGAACACAAGGATTCTTGGTAGAGCTTTATTCTTCCGTATAATTTGTTAAACCCAACTAATTAACACCAAGGCTGTCTTCTATTTGGTGAATGTTCACTTAAATGTGACACATCGAAAATAAATTATAATGTTCGAAAATCCCTCTGTTGTTTACCGTCTGATTTTTGAGAAGGTGTTTGTCAAAATTTATTCCTGGTCTGCCAGAAATAAGTCTGGTACAATAGCAGGTTTAATTGAAAATTGTCCATCAGTCAAATTTAAGTGAAAATCCACCAAATGTAACACAGCCTGAATTGGGTAAAGTGGTGATATTTTATTCATGGGATAGGTCTTCTGCACGATTGGAATAACTTTTCCTAGTACTTTGACGAATAATCGATTTTTCAGGTGATGCAGGGTATCCATCTGAACCATGGTTGTTGACACCATACAGAGCTGCCAATGAAGGAAGTCCAGAAAGTGAATTCAACCAAAAGCATAGCAGAGCACGTGGAATAGTTGAAAGAACGATAGGAGTGTTAAAGAACCGATTTAGATGTATATTAGGTGCTCGACAGCTTCATTATTTGCCTCACAAGGTGGCAAAAATTGTGAATGTATGTTGTGCATTACACAATATTTGCCTAGCTCACGGTGTCGAACAAAATAATGAATAGTGTATAATTATCATAAGCTATAAATGTGTTGATGCTTAGAGCAATGTTGTTAGAATAATTATTCTGTTCTCAAAACGGAGGAGTTAACTTTTATTAATAAAGGTTCTTTGGTTCATGAAATCTAATTGCAAATGTTCAAAAAATTAGTAAAATATTACAAATAATGTAGTCACCGATAGACTGACGTGGTAGCTAGGACAAACATCATTCAAAACTGTGACCAAGAAAACACTAGCTCCATCTTCTATCGTGATGACACTTTCTATGGGTTATTCGTATTATTCTATTAATGTGAGTAGTTCTCATCGAGTGTGTGATGTTATCATACAGAATTTACCATTTACTCCACGTTTAAATTTATCGTTGCATATTTTCGGCAATGGTCAGGAAACGAGTGTCTCGTCAGTTTAGTCAGTGGTGTAGTAACAGACAAATCGGCAAGTGCTGCAAGCAGACAAACAAGGCTAAGTGAAATGCATTTCATGTGTCAGGGTAGCTGTCAAATGCATTTAAAATGCAATGAGGTACATGGGAGATGGAGCAGATCACCAAATGAAGCTGTATAAGTAATAACTTAAACGGTAAGTTTAAGTAATAACTTAAACGCAATCTGTGACGTAGATAATTGCGTGTACGTACAGTGCAGTTGTGTGTGTCCGATTGCTTCACCGCGGTAATACAACTCATTGTTTAAAATGCATCCGTGCTCATCATTGTGTTCATTTTGTTCATCTTCGGTGTTCGATAACTGAACATTTGTTTCAGTTAGCGGACTTTCAGCTAAAAGTCTTTCAGTTAGCGAACGCCTACTGTACATCAATAAAGTCAAATCGATTTGCGGCCTTCGACAAAATTGTTCTACATAGTTTTTACAAACTTCTCGTTTTAGTTTGGTTAAAATTAATCAATTTTAGGATTTTTAACAGGTGAACGACCCATATTTTTTTTTAATTTTCCCGCAAATTTAGATCATCACCAATCATAATAAATTTCGCACAGTTACTGGGGACCTCAATACACACCGAAAAAGCAAAAAGAAGGGGGGAGGGTTGTGATCCGTATCACAGTATCATATAAACGTGACCCACCTTAATACAGCGTTTCTTAATCTATGGGTCGCCACCATTTAGCATTTTTTTTCTTGATTTGTTTTCCGATGTTCACCAATGCTACCGACGCCAGGGAGGCGCGCCCACACCTGGATCCTACCCATCGACCCATCAACTCATGAACCGGGGACCAACGGCTTTACTTCCCGCGTGATCAAAGATGTTATGCTTCAGAACATCCCAAATAAAAAACAAAAAACATAATTTATGATTGCAGTTACAAATGCGTTGTTTAAGATTATTAAGCATATTCTAAGAAAAAATGACTTATACCTGATTGCAGTCCAACAATATTGCACAATCACGCTATTTGCAACTTTCTTTTGAAAAAAAAATCTTCTTATGGACATTTTTGTATTCCTTCTTGCACTTCATGGTAAGCAACCCTAATAAAAAATAACCATAAACGAACGACAACCCAAATCATTGAACTATTCCACAAATGGTTTGGATGATACCCAGAACACGTCGTTAAGCAAATTAACCATACAATTTTTATTAGGGAATGTATACTATGGTTGATCTACGTAGTTTTTGATTAAATTACGCATGAGTACGAAGAAAAAATAAGTTAAATTATTTTTTCCCTTGATTTTTTGAGCCAATTTTGAAGGGGGTGGGACAAAATTTTTATTTTTTTGTAATGGTCTAATTGTTAAATTATAGTACCTAAATAACAATAATTTTTTAACTACAACCATGCTTGAACTAGAGTCGGTGTATAATGAGTCACGCCAAGAGAAAAACAGTTGAACTCGCATCACGGTTTTCGAAAGATTCCCTTTCTTTTAACTTGGCAACAGAGGACTTCTGCATCAACTTCAAATGACTTCTAACGAGGAAAAAAAATAACGGCTGTAGTATATCATTATATCAGTGATTTTGTGGAATTATCTTAAGGAAAAATAGTAGAAATTGTCATTACTGATCATTACAAAACGTATCGCATGACAAATGTAATGCTCACTGCGTGTTTATGATCATTTCTTCGGTTATATTTAATATTTAATTGCAATACCTTTCGTGGACCTTTCATAGCATCGTAATGCTTATTTACTTTGCACGATAGGTAGCCAGTTTGACAGTTCAATAGGTAGACTTGGCTTCACTCTTGGCGTGACTCATTATACACCGACTCTAGCTTGAACCATACATTTTACTGCTATTGTAACATATTTGTTCCGAAACAATAGGTTTTTTATTGTTAAGATATTTAACAACCCTCCTTGTTGTTGTAGACTTGTCGAACTCATGATTTTTATTGTTAATAACCAAGACTTTTGTAGCTATTATGTAGCAATGGACAACAATGTCAATAGTTAAACACAGACAAACAGACATAACACATTGAATATTCCTCAATGTAAAACATCGTCGCTATAACACTACCGCCATATGTTGAGTACATTGTGATGGGTAGTACGCTCAACAGATGACGGTGGTATGTAAACGTCAAATGCAACTAAGAAACATTTAAATTTACCGTTACATGCGTGTTCCATGAACAACTTGTGAGTGTTATGTCTGTTTGTCTGTGGTATAATATGTTCACAGAAAAAATGAAATTTATTGTACTTTTATTTTAGATTTGTTTTCGGGATGCAATTACCACTGCCTTGGAATAAGTACTCTTAGTTTTTAAATTAATTTAAGAATTCTGCATTGAAGGACATTCCATACCTTTAATTAATCCGCTTATAGTGTTATCTGGCCTTTAACTTCTATTATTTCTTACATATTGTCATTTTAATTCCTAAACATCTGACCTATTCCCCAGGGCACCGGAACATGCCCAGAAGTGGACAATGTGGTCCATTGCACTCAATATTGCCATCATTAATCTTGTTATGATGTATAATGTATCGCATGATGGGTTCTGGTTTGAGTCCGGTTCTGGGCACTGCCCCTGGGGTATGCAGGACATGTTCTGGAGTAGCCAATGTACTTCAAGGTACTCACAATTGTCACCATTGACATTGTTTTGACTTTGATTCAATTCTGGCTCTGACCACTTCCATGTGACACTCGGAAAATGCCCGGAAGTGATCCAAATGGTCCTGGGCGCTCAATATAGTCACCATTGGTCTTGTTTTCAAATTCTGATATGATCGCATGATGGGAATTGTTCCATTCAGGTAAAATTAGTTACATGGCCCATATACAGTGTCTTTCCATTTTTGGTAACACGATCCCACCCATTCATTTTTTCTCCAGCTTTTACCAATGCTTCTTGGATCATGTATTGTGTATTACCAACCAGATTTACTCCCTAAAGCGCATTCTATTTAACTCATAAATTGGATACGGGTCATTCCAGCTCAAATGGGTACACCACCTGTGGTCGATGTCACCGATTTGAGCCAAACTTGGCCAAAACACTTAAAAGAACATGACAGTTACGTTCATGAATGGAAAGTGTGTTTTCAAAAAATGAAAAATAAACAAAAAAAAAATAATTAATTACTCAAATAAGGGTATTATCCAAGTAGTATCGGATTTCATCGTACTTAACGTTTTGGCTGCATCCCATAGGAACGTATTTTTCACTTTTAGAACCACAATTAAATTATGGACAGAAGTAAATAAATGAGGTAGTTATGATTTCAAAGAATGAGAATCCAGCCAAGAACATGTGAAAAATAACAAAAAAAATATTATTGTGCCATCAGCGTGAAGGAATTCAAGAAAAAATAAAAATATATTAAATAGCATTGATTTTTCACCAGAAAAGCTCAAAACTACCTCTCACTCATCTGGCCATATCTCAAAAACTGTTTGTTCAAATCGTTTGCCCTTGGAAACACATAAAGTAGAAGAGTTTTCCAAAGTGTGGTGAAAATTTGAGCCCAAAATATTAAGAAACAAAAAATCCCGCGCATGGTGAAAATAGGCCGTTTTTTGACAATTTGGATATCTGCCGATAATCAGTCTATTTACTGTAGTTACTATAACAAAAATAAAATGTTTTTACACATATAAGAATCTACATTAAAAAGTTGTTGACGTTCTTCAAGTTGACGTTCTAAGATCACGAATAGCTTATTTGGTTGTGGAGTAATCTCTTCTGAAAGTTGAAATTTTTAAAAATCTCGAAAATCCAGGGTTGTAGCCCAGAAAGATCTAGGCACAGTAGACCAAAATAAAAAAAAACCTTTGTTCAGAATTCCAAAATAAGCGTTTTGGCCAAGTTTGGCTCAAATCGGTGACTTCGTCCACAACTTTTTTTAAATTCTGTACCCACTTGAGCTGGAATGACCCATATTGTCTTCAATGTCAGAAGGCAGCAAGGACATCATGAGTTGGAAAAAAAACGGGAAGGCACAGTATTCCGCAACATGTTCCGGTCATATCTCCGGAAACAAAATTACCGATTCGGAACTTATTCAATAGCATTATATGAAACCAAAATACCTTTCATTTGACGTTTGATTTGTGCAAATCAATTCATCTCTCGAATTTTGTTACCTTACCTAACCCCCCCCCCCCCCCACATACACATACACACAACACACTGTCGAAATTTTTAAGTTATTGAATTTCTTTCCTATATCTTCATGGAACAAGAACAGTTGATCCCTTGATGAAACAGCATGTTTATTTTTTCTTTAAATCTTAATTAATAAAATTGGTTGTTCTCAAACACTTATAAACGGTTAAGTTCAATTTCCAAAAACCTTTTCTTTACTTGCAATTTTTCCAAAGTGATCCTTTCCATTTCAAGATTATGGCGCATATTTTCTTGAAGCGTTTGCTTCATCGTCTGATGCATTTCGGTCAATCGTTTGGATATCTGCCGGCTGTAGTAAGCTAAATCGGCAGATTTCTTGTCGAACGATCCGAATGCATTATTCATGGCATCTTGAAACTTGGTTTGATTATTTACTTGCGTCTCCAGTAAAGTGTGCATCGATGTCTTCCTCTTTTTTGGTGCAGGCGCTTCGTTGTCCTCGTATTCAGCTTCCGGAATTTGGTTTTCGCTGTTCTCGTCGGTTGCGTCATTGTCACGAGTCGACTGTCCTGATCCAGAATCCTGTCCATATCCAAAGCTAAGCGACTCCTCTATTCCCTCAACGGTTGGAGCAAGCCCTCCGATAACTACCACCCGTTCTTCCAGAGGAGTAAGTTCAATAAGCTTACTAGGGCCACCGCCTGTAGCTGCTTGTTCACGGCGGTTGTGGGCTAGCTTGCGCTTGGTGTTTGACTTCCAGTCGAACCAAACCTATAAAAAAACAACGTCAGTAAGCATACATATATTTAATAAAACATTATTATAAACACCTTCTTCCAAGCCGCCGCTTCCTTAGTGGGTTGCCCAATACTGTTGAGCTCAACTGCTAGGGCTTCCCAGTGTGGCCCTGTGTTAAACCTGGCAAACCCCCTCGCAATTTCTGGTTGCTCCTCCATTAGCTCGACCATTCGGTTAAATTGCTCTTTGGTGGTACTTTTTGTTTTCGACTGTTTTTCCCTAAACGATAACGAAATAAGTGTAGGATTGAAATAAGTGAAAGTTTAAGGTACTTAATAATTATAGCTTTTAGAATTATAAGGGCCTAACTGCAATGACCGATTCTCTTTGGTGTGCTACATTAATTGTACAAAAGAGAGACCAGAACGATGCGCGCGACAAGCTACACACTCTCAACAAATTCAAGCGTTTCAACTTTTTTTGTCTCATCGCATTGCTCTCTCAATGCGACGCATGTATTCAATCACATGCGACTGTTTCATTGCAACATCTCCGCTCTCTCAGGGCGCCATCGCCGTGCGCTGTTTCGCATGCCTTGACTCGCGCGGTCCCATCAATAAATAAATAAAATCTGAATCTCTTATGCATGACGAACTAGAGCTGGCAGAACATGTTATTGTTTTTCAGTGAATGCAATTTACATTCACTGAAAAACAATGGTGGGTTCCCTAATAAAAAATTACAATAAACAAACAATTACCCAAATAATAGAACTATTCCACAAATGGTTTGGATGATACCCCAAACACGTCGTTATGCAAAATAACCTTAACAATTTTATTAGGGTTCTTATCGCTCTGATTCATCATGCATAAGAGATATCGATTTGAGTCATTTACAAAAGATGTAGCTAATATCAAAACCTTCAAAAGTTTCCAACACTATTTTACGGAATTCTGTTAATGAAAAAAGTTAGAGGCAAATGAATGTAAATGAATGCACGAAATGAATGAAAATGATTTCCCATCCCTAGTTGGGATACCGTTAGCATGCTAGCACCCCAAATAATACCGGAATATCTGTGGAACTATGTGTCCTTCAACAAGTCCTTATGCGGAAATCTTCTAAAATACATTTGTTGGAAGCCTCTGAAGCTTTCAGCCCATTTGGTGGAAAAATAAACAAGTTATTGCGCATTTGCACCAAATTAGACTCAGAATTCCTTAGAATACTTTTACTCAGACCAGTAAAAATATAAATGGACGATTTTGAATGTAAAATAGCACTACATTTTACTATACAAGATCATATAGTCGGCGTTAAGTCAGAAGCGACTAAGTAGCAAAATAAAAACAAAAAATTGGTTAATGATATCATAAGATCAAGAATTCCCTCAGCTATATTTCACTTTTTCAGCCAGATTTGAAAAATTAGAGTAGCAAGAGAAAACAGTCAAATGATTTGTCCCATAACATAAGACACAATATTGAACAGCCAACTTTAAATTCGTTTTTCCCGAAATCAAAAAAAAAAAATTCACAGTTCGGTCTGACTTGACCGATCATATCAACACGCTAGTAATGATAGAACTCTGAAGATTAATATTTGTATTTTGTCTTGCTTGAGTGAACACTATTTTAAGGGATTATTTTCAACGCAGAAGTGTACTTTGCTGCAAAAATGTTGGTGGTGACTTCTTATTACATACACACAAGTCTACACTTAAAAATTAACCAAGTTTAACATGTTGTAAATTTGTTCTGTTAAGATCGATTGAGTTGAAATTTTGACTCAAAACTTGCTTTTCCATTGACCTTTGTCCGATCAGCTATGCACAAATTTTAATTTTATTGTCACCTTCCAGCAGGTGCTTCAAAAAATTAGGTATTTTTTACACGTGAAGCTCAAAATATTTGTAGTTTTGCATCAAAATTTCAGCTCAATTGATCATAACAGAACACATTTACAACATGTAAAACTTGGCTAGTTTGTATGAAAACGACCTTTGTCCGATCAACTTAGCACCTCAGTGTACGTAAGTACGAAATGCTGGATTAAGGTTAATGTAATAAATTTAGGAAAAAGTTGTGTCATATCTGTATTACGGATTGTTGCTAAGCTTCTTGCTTCAGGAATTGTATTGAATACCTGTCAATCAACAAACTTACTACGGCAGCAACTGAATTCTTCAGATGTGTTAGTGCTCACAGGATAGTTCATATCAGCCACCATGATGCTGAATTGAAACAATCAATTTGCGACGACAGATTTCTAAATAATCCTAGTGCTAGTACCGTGGACCCTCGGTGAAATTAAAAAAGCATATGTATTAACGAGCAAATAAACCACAACTTGATTGTACATTTCGCTTACCAAAGCCACATCTCTTCCTTCGTTCGTTATGAATGGGCTATTTTTCAAGTTAATCCTTTAATCAACGAAAATTGCCGCTAGGAAAACTTTGTTGGTCATAACCATCCGACACCTCTTCTCCATGTTCGATAAGAGTGTAGTAGCTAGGTCGCTTTCCATCGTTTTCATAACAAAACAACACTTTTCCCACATCAAGAACACGAGTTGGTCTTCCAGTTGAGTTTGTTATTTCGATGTCGCATTGAAACGTCGCTTAGCGACGTCTCATTGCGAAAAGCGCTTGAGCTTCGGCTCACGCGACGTCGCATGATACTCGTTCTCATGAAACGCATACATCCGGAAATGTGCTGTCCTTACAAAACAGTGCGACACACTGACATTATGAGAATGTGAGATGCGACAAAACTGAAGAGAGAGAAACAGAGTGCTACAAATCTCTTGCGCATGAGACTGCTATGACTATGAGACTATTCGTATTGCGTCTCGCATACGGTAGCGCGCGCACTGGAAGCCTGTTTCTAATACAGTCTGTTACAGCACTGTGCTGATAATTTCCAAAAAAAAAAATGATTACAAAACTGTAGAAATACAAAAATAAAATCGACGATGATAATCGATCTTCACAGTTCGGACCTCAAGATTTTGAAAGTTAGAATTAATCATGTTTGGTTGTTTTTGACATCATCCACATCCAGAGGGCCAGTCGCTTTCAAATGTATGGGAATGGTAGGAAACCATTTGGAAATGCATGAAAATTTTCAGTTTTTATTCATTATCGTCTTTATAAGCAGTTCTAGATGCAATAAAATTGCACGAGTACATTACTATGGTGATAAGGTAAATACTCGTTCATTTGTTTCCTTCTGTGAATGCATGTTTAGTCACAAATCGTGGATATTTTTGATATTCTCCATACTGCGATTTTCCTACCAATGAAGGAGCGACATCTCTCGGATCTTCAGTATAGCTACTACTCAAATCATATAATTAATTGATTCATTGGTGGTTATTCCGAGAGTCGTATTTTTATTAGGTGACACTCAATTGGTATTCCGATAGTGGTTGTCGACCACGGTCGACAGCGACTCTCGAAATACCAATTGAGAGTCACCTTATGCCGATACGACTGTCGCAATAACCCCCATTACTTGATTACTTACATCTTCACTCGCCGAATTTTGCGACGGGCTTTACCAGACTACGGAGACGGGATGGGTTTCTCTAGGTATTTCTTCACTACAACACCAACGGGAGCAGATCAATGGAGGGCACACTGGATGGACACACAGAACCGGTTAATAATCGAATGCCGGATAACCGAAATGGTCGGTTATTGTGTTATTGACACCGAGAAAAGGCCGCGCAGTGCGTGTAGTTCTGAAAAGAAATACAAACAAAAAGTAATACACATCTGCTTGCTTCATTGCATTGCAAGCAACTTACTTGGCGATAAAATTTTCCCGGAACGGAAGATTTGGGATACAAAGTTCCGATCGACAACCGGATGAACACAGAACCGACAAGACCAGGCACCGTTCCAAACACCGAAGCAAACAATCGACATCCGAATCCAGGTAATTTTAATTGTCAACGGGACACAGTCACTCATTAGGGTACATCTGAAAAGACGAAGAAAAAAAAAACAATCACTACGCAACTGGTTGCTTATTGAATTGCAACTCACCTGACGATAAATATGCAGAACACTTTGATTTCAAAATTACGGGCACAAAACCACATTGAAAGCGATAAAACCGCGAATAAAACAATCAATACTTCAAAAATGTTACGTGAGACTCCTTTCGAACACGCGATTCGCGAGTTTGGAGTGACGTTTGACAAGCAGACAAAAAAACGCATTCGTACGAAAATGGGAATAGCCCAAAATCGTTCGAACGGACGATGTTCGAAAGTTAGAATTGCTTCGAACGAAAACGGGAATGGGAAATTGCTTTCGTTTCGAACGAATCCGGTTCGTACGAAAACGGGAATAGAGGTGAATAATAAAAACGCTACTTGCGTACCGGAGGTTGCTATTCAGGTGGGGGAAATAGCAATCCGCACCTAGGGAAGTAGCATAGAGGTAACTCTAAGACCACTGGGTCCCGAAGAAAATCATTATTATTTTTGGCTCACTCAGTACCAGAACAACGGTCCCAAGCAGTCCCAAGCTATTTCACTCACCCCTGCATGTTCTGCATGAATCCACACACCCCTGATGTTATCTGTCAAACTTTCATAGCGAATCAAAACAAACATAGTGTAGTAATAGAATTTCAACTAGAATAGGGTACGTTAATCGTTTGCTTGGGACCAATAGGCTACTAAAGTGGTGACCCGCATAAACGCGAACCATAAATTGACCTTACCTAAAATGGTTAAAAATTGTTTATAATCCCTGCTAAACTTTAACTGAAATGGTTATGGAACTTTACATGAACGTTTAATGATAAAGTTTCAACCTTATGTATTATGGTTTTTTGGAACTGGACCTTACAAATAATGGGTTGTTAAGAACCATTACCGTTCCAAATTCTTGTTTTCTCCATACATTTTCGGAAAGAGAACTATATTAGAACCTTTTAACTTATGGTTTGAGAACTTTAATGGTAATGGTTATGGTAGTCAGTAAGGTCCACGAATGGTTTTGTAACATCGATCAACTTTATGTGGAATATATCGCGAATTGGTTGCCTGTAATTTAATGATTACCAATTCACGATATATTCCACGTAAAGTTGAGCGATAATACAAAACCATTAATGGACCTTACTGACTACCATAACCATTACCATTAATGTTCTCAAATCATAAGTAAAAACGTTCTTATATAGTTCTCTTTCTGAAAATGTATGGAGAAAACAAGAATTTGGAATGGTAATGGTTCTTAACAACCCATTATTTGTAAGGTCCAGTTCCAAAAAACCATAATACATAAGGTTGAAACTTTATCATTAAACGTTCATGTAAAGTTCCATAACCATTTCAGTTAAAGTTTAGCAGGGATTATAAACAATTTTTAACCATTTTAGGTAAGGTTAATTTATGGTTCGCGTTTATGCGGGGAGCCAATTTAAAATCGTTAGTTTCGTATTGATTGCTGGAAGTAGTGAGTTCATAAATTTAGCAACCCGGTAGCAACGCATCAGACGGTTGCTATTTTGAATAAACGTCAAAAGTTTGTTTTGCCGGTGTGGAAAACGGTAACTTAAATTATGACTCTGATAGCAACGACCGGTGTGGAGAGGAGTGATCCGAGGAGTGATCAAGCCAAAATGGAAACACTGTGCGTAAGTAAAATAGTGCCGCAAATGGCAACGACTGGTACGGTTGCTCTTAATTGAATGAAAATCCACGAAATCAGCTGTCAAAATGTTCGACTTGACAGCAGTTTGTTTTTTATTTTCAACCTGTAAAACCGCTCACTAATACTAACGGTAGTATAGATAAGTCATAAGCCAAGATCATAAACAGCTGTCTGAGTCGCAAATTTAGTGCTTCCGATTCGACAAAAGTCAAGTTCATTGATTTAACTGTTTCCGCATCTGCATTTAGGCGTAGGTAATTCATTAGCCAAGTATTTACACATCATTAACAAAAATCTATTGCAGTGTGCACAGCGGTGATTTTTTATTATTAAAATAAATTGGCTTCACCAGAAAGGATGTCGAAAATATACCATGGTTTGGTAAATACTGCTGACCGCTTTGTGCCGAATGCCCTAAGACCACTATGGAATCATGCAGCAGGTAAGTTAATAGCATCTCAAGGTCAACCCAACTCAATTGCTACCATATTGCTAGCGATTGATAAGAAAGAATGTTATGTAACAACGCTTCCATCAAAAAATTATCTACGATATTGATTGTGTGTAGATAATTAATCAGAGTTGATGTTTCTAATCCGTTCCTTAGGTCCTAAAACGGTGTTTTTCTGGGCTCCAGTATTCAAATGGGTAAGGAATCAAAAAGCATCTTGTTTGAAAATATTAAAGCCTTAATTGATTTTTTTTTTTTTCTTCTTGTAGGGTCTGGTTGTTGCTGGATTAAGTGACTTGCGTCGTTCGCCGGATCAACTGTCCGTATCACAATCCGCTTCGCTGGCTGCCACTGGTTTGATTTGGTCTCGCTATTCGCTGGTAATCATCCCGAAAAATTATGGACTCTTCTCCGTGAATGTCTTTGTTGCCTTGACTCAGTTGGCTCAATTGTATCGTGCCTGGGATTTTTCTCGGAAGAATCAACTATCAATAAACGAATCGGAAAAGTAACATAGCTCAAATGATGTGCTACCCTACATGACCGGAGTCAAATTTATCATAAACTAAAAGTGTCGGAAAACTAGCAGAAACGGGTTATATCAGTGGAAACTTCATGTGTGTATCGGGTTTTAGGGATACAATTCATGTTCAACACTAGAGACATCGTGCAAATATTTTTCATAGCATATAGACAATTGAATCGGAAGACATAAAATTATATTTTATAAATGCAACAGACCGTGCTTGTTAGTACCTTTTGTGAAAATCCCCCTTTTTGGAAATTTCATAGCTATTTTAAGCTCTGTGCTAGCAACTGGGGAAATATGAGCACCCAAAGTTGAGTCTATTTTAGTTTATAAATTAAAGTTATAGATTAATCTCATTTACAGATTGCAATTTCAAGACCACAAATAGCAGCTCTCATGATACATACAACAAGGAAACTGAAACTTAACATTTGCTACAGTGCAGCATACAGGACATACGTGATATTGCAACAGTGCCCAAGATTTGTGTTCTTGAAAACTTAGTGATAGGGCACATCAGCCATCTTTGGACTCTTCAAGGAATCACCTTAAAGTGAAATAATTCTGCTAGCCGAGTGACTTGACACCGAGACTAATGATTAATTGGTTACTGCCCTAAATAGCATGTCTCGGATTCAGATACTGGCGGTAACAGCATAGAGGTTACTGAACAATTTAACTCTTATTGGCAAATCAAAGTTGGCACTCGTGGAGAATAGAATAACTATGAGAGTGATGATGGTTTCAAAATTTTACAAGGTGAGGTATTGGCAAATCAAAGGTGGCACGCGTGGAGAATAGAAGAACTATGAAAGTGATGATGGTTTCAAAATTTTCCACGGGGAAGTATACGAGTGCAACGAGGGGGGCGACACATCTAAATCTCAATCATAGATGCTCGAAAAATCTCACGCCAGCGAATAAATCTACGAAAAATCTTCTTGCCATTTTAAGCATCTAAATCCATCTACTCGCATCGACTTCCATCTTTTTGCAGGAAATCTTCAAAATCTTCATCAATCTTCTTAAAATCTACTCATCGTACGTGCAGCTAAGCACAGCAAAACAAAATCGTTTCTGCATCGAAGATAGAGTCGCCCCCCTCGGAGTGCAATCTTAAAATGCTTTTATTTTGTGAATGGAGCATTTTATTTAAATCTGGTAAGTGCTACGTTAGTAGAAAACTTCAGGACTACTCAATAGACATATAATACAGAAAACTTAATTTCTTTTCAGATTTTTAGGTGTAAACATAGACTTCCGCTTTTCTACCACTGTAGCAGTAACCAGATTTAAATAAAATGCTCCATTTTCAAAATAAAAGCATTTTAAGATTGCACTCGTATACTTCCCCGTGCAAAATTTTGAAACCATCATCACTTTCATAGTTCTTCTATTCTCCACGAGTGCCAACTTTGATTTGCCAATACGAGTGTAATCTTTAAATGCTTTTATTTTGCAAATGGAGCATTTTATTTAAATCTGGTTAGTGCTACGCTAGTAGAAAACTTAAGGACTTCTTAATAGACATATAATATAGAAAAAATAGTTTCTTTTCAGATTTTTATGTGTAGATATAGATTTCAGCTTTTCTACAACTGTAGCAGCAACCAGATTTAAATAAAATGCTCTATTTGCAAAATAAATGCATTTTGAGGTTGCACTCGTATACCTCCCCGTGGAAAATTTTGAAACCATCAACACTCTCATAGTTCTTCTATTCTCCACGAGTGCCAACTTTGATTTGCCAATTGACTTAACATAATAAAAAGGTTCAGCAGGGTATAAGACATCCCAACTAACAGCGAATTCGTTTATTATCGGGGTTGGAACCAGTTCCAACCCAGTGCGAAACCGAACTTTTTGTCAGTGCGAACCTCAACCTGAGCTGGGTTTTAAAAACAAACGATCAAACTGACGTTTGTCAGAAAACAAGCAGACCAAATCTTGATACCCGATCCAGGTTGGAACTGAATAATAAACGAATTCGCTATAACAATAAGGCTGTAAACGAGACAGTTGCGATCAGCTGACTTTTTTGTTTACCACGAACTTTTGACAGCTCACAGTAGAACTGACAGTTCACTCTCATATGAATTTCTGCTTTGTTTATGTTTACATTCAGCACCATTAACACCAGATCACTCACACACTCTTGATTTCTAGCTGTCAGTTCCACTGAGAAACGTCTCTTGGATTACCTTATTTATTAGGTTCTGCAGCGTGACGTCACAAATGAACTCAGTGTTAAACGGCTGAACCTTTTTGACAGTTCAGTGGTACTGTTTACAAGCACTTAGCCGTTTTTTCGAAAAAAATATATTTTAAAATTTCCGAATTTTAACTTGAAAATTGCCGAGGAAATGCGTGATGAAAGGATGTTGCTCGTGGACATTACAAAAAGGTGGTTTACATCTCACTGCAATCTGAAAAATTATTCAGAAAATCCACCCAAGAAAAAATCGACTAAGTCCACGTAAACAGTACCACTGAACTGCCATCAGATTGAGGTTAACCCCGACGGTGCAAAACCTAATTCGAGGGGGGCGACCCGGACAGACTATGGCTTATATCATGTAATATCAAGAGCCACATGTGAAAAGGGCATACAAGCTTTTTGTAAACAAACCTTTGTAGGCCCTCTTCTCGCCAACCAAGGGTCGCCCACACAAACTATCAACATCATCGGGAAGGGGAAACCTTCCCCTATCCGGCGATGTTGATGGTTTGCGTTGGTGTCATATGGGTGGCGAGAAAACGGCATAAGAATGTTTGTTTACAAAAAGCTTGTATGCCCTTTTCACATATTGTTCTTGATATAGGCTGTCTTGCAATGAGCACTCATACATAGGATTTCCAGTGAAAACTAGATGTATGAGTGCTCATTGCAAGACAGTCTATATTACACAAGCCAGTGACAAGGCCTATACCAATAAGCAGCGTTTGACAGTAGGCAGCATTTCCCGGGCTCAAATCGTTTGTTTTGCTGTGCTGGGCCCGCTGTCATAATAACAATATAATATTATAAGCCATAAACGCTGTCCAGACTGGAGAGTTATAACATGTTATAACGGTTGTCAACTAATTGCAACACAGAAACCACCATCAACATGTTATAACTCTGTAGTCTGAACAAGGCAATAGTCTGTACGGGGTATAAGATGCTGGAATTTTTTTGCTTTGCTGTAAAATGCGCGCTTGCCTAATAGATAAAGCGAAGATTGATGACGATTTTGAAGATTTCCTGCAAAAAAGTGGAGAGCGATGTGAGGAGATGGATTTAGATGCAAGAGATGAAAAAAAGATTTTTCGTAGATTGATTTGCTAGCGTGAGATTTTTCTACAATCTAAAATTGAGATTTGGATGTGTCGCACCCCTCGTATTTATTTTCAGCTGTAGACTAGCTTATACCAGAGACAATGTTTTAGAAGAGACGCGCAGAAAGAATAAAAGTAAATCTGGTTGCACGGCTATCTAAAGTCAAATACGAGGTCAAATATATCATATCAGGCATAAGATTTGATAACGGCACAAAAGCTTTTGTAAACAAAGGGTAATATCAAGAGCCACATGTGAAAAGGGCATACAAGCTTTTTGTAAACAAACCTTTGTAGGCCCTCTTCTCGCCAACCAAGGGTCGCCCACACAAACTATCAACATCATCGGGAAGGGGAAACCTTCCCCTATCCGGCGATGTTGATGGTTTGCGTTGGTGTCATATGGGTGGCGAGAAAACGGCATAAGAATGTTTGTTTACAAAAAGCTTGTATGCCCTTTTCACATATTGTTCTTGATATAGGCTGTCTTGCAATGAGCACTCATACATAGGATTTCCAGTGAAAACTAGATGTATGAGTGCTCATTGCAAGACAGTCTATATTACACAAGCCAGTGACAAGGCCTATACCAATAAGCAGCGTTTGACAGTAGGCAGCATTTCCCGGGCTCAAATCGTTTGTTTTGCTGTGCTGGGCCCGCTGTCATAATAACAATATAATATTATAAGCCATAAACGCTGTCCAGACTGGAGAGTTATAACATGTTATAACGGTTGTCAACTAATTGCAACACAGAAACCACCATCAACATGTTATAACTCTGTAGTCTGAACAAGGCAATAGTCTGTACGGGGTATAAGATGCTGGAATTTTTTTGCTTTGCTGTAAAATGCGCGCTTGCCTAATAGATAAAGCGAAGATTGATGACGATTTTGAAGATTTCCTGCAAAAAAGTGGAGAGCGATGTGAGGAGATGGATTTAGATGCAAGAGATGAAAAAAAGATTTTTCGTAGATTGATTTGCTAGCGTGAGATTTTTCTACAATCTAAAATTGAGATTTGGATGTGTCGCACCCCTCGTATTTATTTTCAGCTGTAGACTAGCTTATACCAGAGACAATGTTTTAGAAGAGACGCGCAGAAAGAATAAAAGTAAATCTGGTTGCACGGCTATCTAAAGTCAAATACGAGGTCAAATATATCATATCAGGCATAAGATTTGATAACGGCACAAAAGCTTTTGTAAACAAAGGGCCTTTACACGCGAATCGTGAATTATCTTATTCATGTGTTTCACTTATACATTTTTGCCAAAACATCAGCCTTATACCAAAGATGAATACTAAGATGAAAGTGTCGGAAGAAAAACTTTCTATTTTAGTGAATTCTTTCACGGTCCCTTTCATCCCATGAGAACCCACCGTATTCAAGGTAATTTTGTGGTTGTGCTGCCCCAGGCCAGTGACAAGGCCTATACCATCAGCAGCGTTTGACAGTAGGCAGCATGTCCCGGGCTCAAATCGTTTATTTTGCTGTTTTGGGCCCGGTGTCACAGTATAACATGTTGCCTACGCACCTGCCACTGGGCTGTGCTGCCCCCTCGGAGGAGATGAAATTTTGCGCTCATTTTTATCAAAACAATCACACCAAAATCAGAGATGTCCCATTTTTTAATTACTCGATTAACAACTAATCGATTATTTTTTGTTCGCTGTGCTGCCATTTTTATACCAATGAGAGTGCAGCACATGTTTGAAACGATCGGTGATGATCCTGTGGCGATGTTAATGCTTATATCGGCATGATGTAACCGATTATAAATAGTTTACTTTTCGGTTCGTTAATCGATTAAACGATTATTCGAATGAAAATCGGACATCACTAGATGAATGTGAAACGTCATTTCAAATATAAGAACCGTT